GGCAGCGCGGCGGACATTTCCGTGCTCTAAAACTCTCTCAAAAATGAGAGGAGGTCTGTGCCCAGCAGTGGGATGTATATAGACTGTAACTTAATATATATTCTGAATATGTCTGAATATATATAAAAAATTAAACTCCTTAAAAATAATGATATAATTTCTAGATATTAGCTTCTGGTGTCGATGCTAAGATTAAACTATTTATCAATCTATTTTCTGTGATTTTGGTGTTGTCAGTCTATACGGCTTATACAGCTTAACCTGACTCATGGCTGATTAAAAATGGAAACGCAATGGAGAGGATGAGGATAATGGTGATCACGGTTTATGATTTGATATTGTGGCCAATCATCGTGTAGCCTATGTGGTGGTTGGTTCTTGAGCTATCTAACCGCTGTCCGTGGAGTGGAATGCGGACCGCCCCCCCCCCCCCCCCTCTGAGTGCAGCTCGCGATAGTCGATGCTAGGACAAAGTCTATCGTAAAACTAACGCCTCGCAGTAGATTTTTGGTTTATTTATGATGGTGTTTATAAAGTTTAATTATTGTATCACTTTTTTATTTCAAAGTAACAACTAGAATATCGTCTAAATAGTTATCTACTTTAAAAACTTCAGCACATATTTTGCCAAATTTTTTTATAAATTTATATGGAACCACCCCTAAACTATAACTTATTTAATAAAAGAATAATTAGAAAAAAAAATTAAATTCCGAGAAATCGTTTTAAAAATAAAAAAATATACGCACCGAATATAGAACCTCCTTCTTTTTGGATCCTGGTTAATAACAACACTGCGTCACCGTACTTGGCATTTAAGACAACAAACCGAGTCAATATTTACAAGTAACTGGAGGTAAAAAGTTAACTTCGAAAAAATAAATACAAGTTTAATGTTATGTACGTGGTGGAGGACGCTACAGCAGCAGCTATGTCACAGCAGTAGCGCGCAGGGCTCGGCCGGGGCGGGCGGCTTGCTGCTGCTGTGCTGCGTGTGGTGAGCGTACAGAACCGGAGACCCTTTGTTGGAAACGAGGCATTCCGTCTTAGCTCTCATGGGTGAAAACATATCTGCATTTTGATTATTAACTGATGATAGATGTGGATGTCTAAGTGCCACAGCATTCATTTACCATCATATGAACTATGTGCTTGTTTCTCACCCTAATACGGTTAAAAAAATTGGCTTTAAATTATGACAATACCATTCTTGATCATACTTCGTCTAGATTAATTTTATAATAGTAATTTTACACCATTTTTAATACAAAATGCAAGATCAACTAATAAAAGTTTAATTTAAACACTTTTACATGCGCGTTGTAGGTGTTTATATACAACGGTGTAATAAAACGGATCGTTACGAAAAACGAAACGTTTTTTAAATAAAGGAATCGGGCATAAATCAAAATTATACCTATGAATTCGTAACACACATTTTTTTCAAGCCCAGCAGGGGTACGAACACAAGTGGCGTCGCTAATTCGGGTGCGGGGTCAGCGACCGACACCAAATGCTCACTCTTCTGTTTTCACCAAGCACGACTCAACGCATGAGGCTTTTTGTGTGAAAAATTGTTGGCGTGAGTAACTACTTATACGGCCGATACTCCACGTTCGTCGACCATGGGGTTACGTTAGGTCGCTGCGTGCTGCGTGCTTACAACCTGTGAACTGAGCTGAGTCACCTTACTCGATGGCGCACACCACCCTGTAGCTGCGGAATTAACACAGCTAATTGTAAGGCCTGGCGATATGAAATCGATAAACCGAAAAATCGATTCCGTGTCGATTTTAAAATCGATATATAGTCTTAGACCGATCCAGTGAATCGATATTTGACCCAAGAAAGTTATGATTCGATTTTTCTGTTTACATAGGAACCATAAAATTATTTACAATTTGTTGAATGTACCAAAACACGTAGAAAAATGACAGTTTTTACTTAATTATTGAAAAACTTGCGAGATGGCTATGTTATCAGTTTCCTTCGCCTCTATTTAATGGATTAAAGAAATAAAAATAGTTGCTTGTAATCTATGTTTTGTTGTATTTATTGATATTATACATAAAACTCGAAAAAAAATATAAATTTTTGAGAAATCGATCTTTTATACATCGATTTTTTTGTAAATCGATTTAAAAATCGGAATCTTTTTTCGAAAAATATCTCCATCCCTACAGCTGATGCAGACTCGGTCTGTGTCCCTAACATTTATAATCGTGATAGTTGAAGGTTAGCAAGGTTACGAGCATGGCGGCCGGTATTGAGCGCCTTTAAACAGCTTGTCAATTAAATAATTACGTGAACGTGGGAGAACCGCGCTGCAGCTATATTATTGTTGTAGCACGAATGAGTCGGCTCCACCGGGGTAAGACTGCGCTCTCTCAGAATAACAACGTACATAAAATACCTAGGCTGCACTAAAAGTATCGAGAATGGAATATTTCCACTGTTCCTGTCATATTAAAATCTTTTTAATTGAAAACTCCTTGGTTTTTAAAATCGAATACCATTTATTTATTTAAAATAAGATTCTCGGTCTTGTCACAAGGTTTTGTCAAACTTGTTTAGTCGCTGAGAAAATGGAATTGACTCCAGAAAATTCAAGAGCGATGATTTATTATGACTTGCAAAGTGGTTTAACACAAAAACAGTGTGTTGACCGGATGATTTCTGCATTTGGTGATGAAGCCCCATCAAAAACCACAATTTATGAACGCTGGAACATGATGCATGAATTTCAACGTGGACGTGTCAAGCTCAGTGATGATCCCCGTCAAGGTCGTCCAAAAACTACAGTCACCCAAGAAAATGTTGATGCTGTGCGTAAGCTGATTGAGAAAGATTGACATGTGACATACCGCGAAATTCAGGCAACTTTAGACATTGGCATGAGTCAAATACAAATAATCTTGCATGAACAATTAGGTGTAAAAAAAGTTGTTTTCCCGATGGATACCGCATTCGCTCTGTGAAGAGCAAAAAGCGGCTCGCGTTACTTGGTGCGTCAGAACTCTCGAAAGATTCCACGCAGAATCCTCAAATGCTGTATACAACATCGTATCAGGTGATGAATCCTGGATATACGAGTACGAACCCGAAACAAAAAACCAGTCACGCGTTTGGGTGTTCGAAAATGAGTTAAAGCCAACAAAAATTTTTGAAAATGAAAATGTGTCAAATTTCGCGGAGAATACTTCGAAAAGCAATAAATACATTTTTAAATAGTAATGTTGTGTCACTTCCTCGATTCCCGAAATTTTCAGTGCCGCCCTCGTAGTAGTTTGATGCTACTGTTTTTCGTATACTGAGTGTAGAGAACCGGAGGCTTTACTGGAAACGAGGTATTCCCCATCTTACTTCGCAGGGGTGACAAACGCACCTGCATTCGAAATTTTAATCGAAGATAAAATGTAGATGTTACCATCAGGTGGACTGTGTACATACACGTTTGTCACCTGTATTCTATTAAAAAAAATCGTTTACAATTCAGAATCGGATCAGGTTTCCCGATAACATCATGACGTCACAAATACTCGGAAGCTCTGCTAGCGTTACTGCGGGGTTAACCAAGTTGATTTTGACGGCTCCGAGGGGCCGCGGATTTGTATCCCGCACGGAATAAGTATTTATATGTAGGTACCACGATACAGGAGAAAATGCTAGTGGGGAAGTAACGTTTTACGAAAAAAAAAATCAACTTTAACACTACTCTAAATCTTACCTTATAGATAAGTAATTTTCAATAATTTTTAGAGCCTTTTAATTTTAACTGAATACAAGGCTTTTCTTCTTAGTCCTCAGAGATTGTGGATCTTGTTTCTTATTTGAGGATAAATGTCTATGGGCGACATCATCCACTTACCATCAGGTGTGCTGTTGTACGTTTGTCACCCTTTCTCTATAAAACAAAAAACAAGAACGGAACGCGGTCGGCGGAAGTGGGACGGGTTATTATCGGCTCGCGGGTTATAACTTATGTCCTAACCAACAAAATTCTATAGGCACATCCTAAGTAATCCGTGAGAAGACTTAAAAAACTTAGACGGTATGTTTTATTTAGTATAATAATCCAATAAGTTTATAATAATACATAACTTTACTTGTAACAAGCTGGATAAGCTACAATTCAACTTGGGTTTTGTATTGAATAAAACTATTATTTACGGATTTTATCGCGTTTAATTACTTTAATTTATTTTTATTATTATCCTGACGTTTCGGGTGCTTTACAGCGCCCATGGTCACGGGGGGGACTGAGATGTTTGACGTCCCAATGTCATAGTTAGTCCGGGTACCTTCAGTTTTTTAATATTAATTTTTTTAATTTAAAATAATATTAAAAAATGGTACAAAGTGGGAAAGCCGAACTCGATTATAAAAATTGAATTCAACTAAGTCAATGTGTAGTGTTCGCGTAAATTTAAGAAATCATTGGGTTTTGTATTTCAGTAAGAAATAACAAGGGATTGTATAAAAAGATAATCGCCACTGTGCCAATAAGCTGAATTGGTTGGCAATGAACATAGGTTCCGCAGTGGACTTGTGATGAGCTGTAAAGATGATGATCATAATGATTTTAAAGTGAGTCGACAACAAAGTATTTCACAGTAACTATTCCTATGACATTCGATAAGTAAAATTCTAGACAAGCTTGTGTTAGGATTCAACCAAACTATGTCAAAACAGAGAAAATGGGCGTATTGCCTCATATGGCATTCGCGTTAGTTATTTGCCCAGCACCCCATTTCGTCTTGTAGTTATCGAACGAGATTACTATGCCTAATCGTAGGAGATTAATATGAACAAAAGAGATGATAAACTTGATTTCTGAAAACGCGTCCATAATATTAATAAAACAACATAAAATTTTGATGTGACATCTTGTAAGAATATTTCCATTGACAGACCCAAATCAAATGGCGATCCATTTTGCATAAAATATTTGTGTAATACAGTTAAACAGTGTAATATATGAATTGGTAAAACCCACTCACCCATTCTCGTCCTTGATTTTCTTTTTCCGTCCACGCTTCTTGGGCTGATTGAGCATCAGCTGGTGGGGATGCGCGTGAGGGTGCATGTGGGGGTGCGCGTGGTCGTGGGGCGGCAGGTGCGGCGGCGGCTGGCCCAGCATCGCGCACATCGCCTCCTCCTCCACGAACGAGTACGGGTCGTCGCACTCGCGCTTCACGCCGTTGTACGCGTCCTCGTCACGCTTTTGCGTCGAGCCGTAGTGTAGCGGATGCTGGCTCATGTCATAGGGCTCGGGCTCGCGCTTGTAGCCGTATGGCTCCGGGTATTTGGGGAAGGGGAAGTGCTGGTAGGGCTCGGGCTCGGGCTGCGGCTGCGGCGGCTCGTAGCTGCGGTAGGGGGTGTCGGGGAAGCGGGCGAGGAGGGGCTCGTAGGCGGGCTCGGGCGCGGGCGAGCGCGGCGCGGCCGGCGAGCCCTCCGCGCTGGACGCCTTGCGCCGCGCCGCCTCGCCGCTGTTGCTCGTCTCGTAGCCGTCGTCCTGGCTCTCGGCCGGCTTCGGCTTCTCATCGCCCTCCTCCCTGCAACACGTTCCAATCACTATTACAACCGGCTTTATCCACATTCAACAACACAAAGCGTTCAGCTTGAGTACCAACACGACATCTAAATCGCAAGTTCTGTTCACACACAAACACAAAGTATTGCTTTTTGGAAAAGTGACTTGTGTTTATCTCCGTATAATTTTATAACAAAATGAAAAACGGGCTGGCTAGCAGGCATTTATATATCTAGAAACAAACTAGGTGAAAGACTCCTGGGAACTTAGATGGAATACTCCATAGCTTCTTAACTATACTGGTTTTCCCCTTTACCTTTGAAAGCGGAACACAGTAGTGCGATGTACCTAGTTTTGATTGACAGATTCTAAAGGACTATGACTTCAAATCTAATCCCATGACCGATGGGATTAGATTTGAAGTCAGAATAGGTATTACAATGGATTCAGATAATCAGTAAGGGTAATCCGTTTTTAGATGTTGAACCATTATAAATGCAAAAACACTTTGGCATAGGTTTCTCATTTCTAATGGCCCAGCCACACTAAGGAGAAATGCCGTTAATTATCGCGTTGATGAACGTTGAATCTAGGTGTGGCCACGAATTATCGCGATAATTTGACAACCGCATTAACAATGCCGTTTCCCGTTTGCCGATAACTCGAGTGGCGGTATATCAAAGGATTAACGCGCGAATTATCGCGTTGAAGCGGCCACACTACGTTTGTCTCATTGTGCACGGTGAGTGCCACGGGGTTGCACGTATGGCTGCGATGGAGTGGAGTAATGAAAAAGCTTTTCGAGATTGAATTAAAAAAAATTACTTCAAAAGTATACTTTAATTTACGGTACGAAAGTAAGAAAAATAAGCAGGAGAAAAAAAATTTTTGCAGGTCAAAATTCATAGTGTACAGTGGTACGAAACCATAGATATAATACGAAACCCTGGGTACGTGTATCTAATTCGCACTTGACCAGTATTTATGATTGGCTTATTAGTTATTATTTCATTAAAATATATTTACATTTGTCTTATTGTTTAGCTTAAACCATTGGACATCTTTCTAGTGCAATTTGGGTGCGGGAAAAAAAATAAAACATAAATAGATTTACAGTGTACGTTTCCTGTGCATTTTTAGCATCCACCATCTTCTTTTTCTTTGTATTCTTTTTTTCTTTGTTTATTTTTTATTTTATAAACTATTAACTATATATATTTGTTTATTTTTTTTATATTATAGAAACACAGCAGCATTAAGCTACTATTTTACGCTGGTATTCTGTGAGAGCGTGGTCCTTCCCCGGTCGAAACATTTTACGCCGTTCAACGGCAAATTTAACGCCGTTCAACGGCAAATTTAATGCCGTTCAACGGGAAACGACGTTGACCGTTCAAGTGTAGCCACTCATTTTATCGCGTTAAATTTAAGGCAATAATTGTTGCGTTTATGGGCATTGACGTTGCTCGTTAGTGTAGCCGCAGCATAAGGGCATGTTATAAGACTTCACGTCCGCGATTTTTTATTGGTCTGACCAAACACGCAGCCGAGTAAACTCGGTTTAGTAAACTTTGGTTTTAATAATTTTACTGTTTTCGTAATACAGGTAACATCAAAAAATACACAAATTAGATTTTAGGGAAATATATTTGTAAAAGGAAGCCAATAACCGACTTTAGATCACTGAATGCAGTCAGTTCGGTCGCAGTACGACTGATATTTTTAAAATAATCTTAAATGCCATCACTTGTTTTTAATAATTTTATTGTTTCGTAATACAGCTTACGCATCAAACAATACACAAATTAGATTTTGGAGCAATTAATTCTCAGAAGGAAGCCAAATAACAGAGTTTAGATCAGAGAATGCAAAACACGTCGCAGTTGGCCGGTCGAACAACTCGGTCGGTACGATACGCCGGCGGCTGCGTACCGGGCTCGCACGCCTCGCTTGCACTGCAGCTAGAGATACCATGCGCCACGATTTGTCCGGACATGACAGAGTATTGACGTGAATACATCTTTAAATTTGCTTCCAAAGTGGACGGCTCCCCACTAGATGGAGTGACGACCTGGTAACACACGCGGGAAGTCGATGGGTGCAGGTAGATCAAGAAATAAATTCCTTGGGGGAGGTCTATGTTTAGCAGTGGACTTGTGAAGGACTGTAATGAAAGAAAGAGAAAGTGAAAGGTAATTCAGAGAACTGATGATAAATAAATCAGCCATACAGTGTATTGTCTTTATTTGCATCTATTATTATTGCATCTATTATCTACATTTAATTACACCACTCAATAGCTAAAGGATCAAAGAATTCGTAACGTTGAAGACTGTGATGCATCACACGCGGTGAAGAGGGGAGCGCAACCATTCTGAGGTGGTTTTGCAGCACGCATTCACGTAAAACACACGATCGTGTCCACGACACAGCAATACCCTGAATTATTTGGGCTGTTGTCAGGATTACGGTAAAGTTTTGGGAATGTTAGGCATTTTAAATCTTTCCATAACCATAGAAGGTTTTTGCGTGATTGGGGAGGGGGGGAGGGGATCTGCGACCTGGATTGATCGTGCGAGTGCACAAAACCAATCATTCAGATGTTTTCTTTTCACGCTATGTCAGAACTGTTCTCAGGAAATCAGGTTATTTGTCAGGACATTTCAATTTTCCATCTGGTAACCCTAACTGCAGCGCAGTCCAGAGCAGCGAGCCGAAAGCTTTGCAACTCAAACCAATACTCGCACTGGATGCCACTTCCAAATAACACATGTACGTGAATGTCACTTCTAAATTTGACTATGCTATAAATAGTTGAAATAAATTTATAAATAATTAAATAAAAAAACCATAATAAAAAACTAAAAACTTAAATTATCATCCATTCTTACTCCCCGCAGTATAGTGCCAAGAACGCTGCGTTTCGTCGCTGAATGGCTATACTCAACCTTTGAACGAGAATAGAACCAGCCCTCTTATCACCAGCAGCAAAGACCAGTCGCGGATACAGGTCCCTCCACGGACCGGTAGTCTCTACAGTAAATGGCACAAACATATAGTATCTCTCAGAGAGTCATATTTGCGCCACTTAGCTGCTTGTGATGCCGCCTATGTCTCTTAACAATGTACCCCTGAGATGATGCTGCCAAAGTGTTTATTATTGAGTCAACCATTTATTGAGTTTTGAATATTTCTTTAGAGGCATTAAATTTCAGTATACATTTAAATACGCAATGTGTGTATGAATACGTTCAAGTAGTTGTTGCAGTATGAAACGCTATTTTTATCGTAGCAAATCCTAGGTGCTATCCAATCCTCTAAATGCATTTCACTGCAGAAGCAGATTAAGGTTATGCCGGACTTGTGCCAGCAAAAATTTTGTGCCATTAAAAACCTATTACAATTTTCAAGCGTAAGATGATTGAATTAAAGTAGTTTGTAGGGTTATTTGTATTGGTAGATCACCCTCCTCCTCCGCTGCATGCTCTTCATCGAGTTTCTTAATCCTAGTGTAGAATTCTATGATGAATTCTCTTACACCGTCCTTTAATTCCGTTACTTCCTATACAAGTTCACTGCTGAACATGGGTCTTCCCTAAAGATGTCCTCAAGAGAGGATTTCTCCATAGGTTGTTGTCAGGGGATACTGCTGCTCATCTCCAGTTTCAGTCTCCTGCTGCCGCACCTTACGACATCCACGGCACGACATGGGACAGTGGATATTCTTACACTGCTACTATACGATTACGCCATACCACACGGCAAATGTGTTAATAGTCGGATTTGGTATAGAAGCTATGGAACGAGGGTGCAGCGGGACGGAGGGTTTGGCGTATTAGACATACACAAGCTCTTGTCCCAAGAGGCAGTCGATCAAAACGTGCCTATGGCAAACGCACAACAACGTCGCTCGTCCCGCCGAACTGTCCCCACTCGGTCGGAGACTCATTGAAATAATATGCATTACGGAGACACAGAAACTTGGTTGTTTGCAAGATGCATTAAAGCCCACGGGCTCAAACTTAGTCTGTGGTCGTAAAAGAATATGCTATGCCTTCGCACTGCTGCACAAGTTTTGTTCTCGGTGTCTGTTCAAGTACGTAGTACATCACTTCAATGATAGGCAGAGTTGTTTTTATGCTGCGCGTTTATTTATTTGAAGGTGTTTAAAACAATAACTTAAGTAGTATTACAGGCTACGAATACGTTATTTCGTTTTACTCGCTCAAGCCATTTAAGCAAGCACAATGCATTTTTTTAGAATGAATGGAGCAAAGTTTGATCAATCGAACACTGTCAAAATATCGTATCAAGGTAAAAATATAAAATCGTTTCAGCTAGTATATGTTTAACCTAAGTATTATATTTAAGTACGTCGGGAGAAAACGTCCTGCGTTTCGTAGAAGAACGAAGCCGATGCCGGATAGAGGATCCGATTTCTTCGCACTTGCAACGCCTGGAGTCTAATAGGTCAATGAACTTCAAATCCTACGTATTTCAGGTTTTTGCAAAATACACAGAGATACGATACGATTTCTGGCCCTCTGGGGTAGTTTATCGCCGGCATAGGGGAGCGCCATAGAATAAAGTTCCCTATATAAGTATAATAAGTGGTAAGTTATGTCCATGTTATACATATATATTTTAGGTAAGGTATATATTTATGTGGGACAAAGTTCTTAATTTTTACGTTCTTGATGTCCAAAAAAGTTATTGTTATTGTTCTTCTAATTACATAGTATTATTAGGCAAACAAAATGATCAAATATGCTTCAAGCCACTTGACTGTTTCGGAACCACTTAAAAAGCGTTATTATAAAATGAATTAATACATAATCAATAATGAACCCCTGGGACTTTTATAGAATGAGCGTAACAAACGAGCACACAGTCCACCTAATACCTGATAGTAAGTGAATTCTGTGACTCATAGACACCCACATCTATCTTCGATTAAGAATCATATGGTAAATGCGTTGTCGCCCCAGAGGACTGAGATGGAATGCCTCGTTACCAGTAAAACGGTCTGCGGTTCTATTGCACGCCGCACAACGCACGAGCGTGTG